ATGCTCCACCAACTGAATTGCTTGATCTGCAGCCACTACCTGTCACTGCATTGAGGAATGCACGATATGAAGGTCTTTATAGTGCTTTTAAACATTTCAACCCCATCCAGACTCAAGTGTTCACTGTCTTGTATAATAGTGATGACAGTGTATTGGTTGCTGCACCAACTGGTAGTGGGAAGACTATATGTGCGGAATTTGCTATACTAAGGAACCACCAGAAGGCTGTATCTGGGGAAACCAACATGCGTGTTGTGTATATAGCACCTATTGAAGCTCTGGCCAAAGAAAGATACAGAGACTGGTCAAAGAAATTTGGTGAATTTGCCCGTGTAGTTGAGCTAACAGGCGAAACTGCTGCTGATTTGAAACTTCTTGACAAAGGGGAGATCATTATTAGTACTCCTGAAAAGTGGGATGCACTTTCTCGCCGGTGGAAGCAACGGAAACCTGTCCAGCAAGTCAGCTTATTTATTGTTGATGAGCTTCATCTAATTGGATCTGAGAAGGGACATGTCCTGGAAATAGTTGTTTCCCGGATGAGGCGTATTTCAAGTCATATTGGCAGTAACATCCGGATTGTGGCGCTTTCAGCGTCCCTTGGAAATGCTAAAGATCTTGGAGAATGGATTGGCGCTACTGCTCATGGTCTTTTCAACTTCCCCCCAGCAGTGCGGCCAGTCCCATTGGAAATACACATCCAGGGTGTGGATATAGCAAATTTTGAGGCAAGAATGCAAGCAATGGCAAAGCCAACATACACTGCCATCACACAACATGCAAAGAGTGGTAAGCCTGCCCTGGTGTTTGTGCCGACACGGAAGCATGCAAGGTTGACTGCGTTGGACTTGTGTGCATACTCGAGTGCTGAGGGTGGCGGTACACCGTTCCTTCTTGGGTCTCAAGATGAGATGGATACTTTCATTGGAGGTGTCAATGAAGAAACGCTTAAAAATACGCTGAGGTGTGGTGTGGGCTACTTGCATGAGGGCCTTAGTGACCTTGATCAGGAACTTGTGACTCAGCTCTTTCTTGGTGGGAGGATCCAAGTGTGTGTTGCAAGCAGCACGATGTGCTGGGGGAGATCATTGCCTGCTCATTTGGTTGTTGTGATGGGAACCCAGTATTATGATGGTCGGGAGAGTGCTCATACTGATTATCCAATCACTGATCTGCTACAGATGATGGGTCATGCTAGCAGGCCTCTTCAAGACAACTCAGGGAAGTGTGTTATATTGTGCCATGCACCTCGGAAGGAATACTACAAGAAGTTCCTATTTGAGGCCTTCCCTGTGGAGAGTCATCTCCACCATTTCTTGCATGATCATATGAATGCCGAGGTTGTTGTGGGTGTCGTAGAAAACAAACAAGATGCAGTGGACTATCTCACATGGACTTTCATGTACAGGCGGCTGAACAAGAACCCCAACTACTACAATCTGCAGGGTGTAAGTCACAGGCATCTGTCAGATCATCTTTCTGAGCTAATCGAGACAGTGTTGAATGACCTGGAGTCAAGCAAATGTGTGGCTGTAGAGGAGGATATGTACCTGAAGCCGCTCAACCTTGGTCTCATTGCTGCGTACTACTACATCAGCTACACCACTATCGAACGGTTCAGTTCGATGCTAACTCAGAAGACCAAGATGAAAGGCCTCCTGGAAATTCTAGCTTCGGCATCAGAATATGCAGAGCTTCCAAGTCGCCCAGGTGAAGAGGAATACATTGAGAGGCTAGTCCGTCACCAGAGGTTTTCTATTGACAAGCCCAAGTATGGCGATCCACATGTCAAGGCCAACGCCCTGCTGCAGTCCCACTTTGCAAGGCACACGGTGGTAGGGAACCTGGCAGCCGACCAACGGGAGATCCTCCTTTCTGCCCATAGGCTGCTCCTGGCGATGGTTGATGTTATCTCCAGCAGCGGATGGCTCACTCTGGCTCTGAATGCAATGGAGCTGAGCCAGATGGTGACGCAAGGCATGTGGGATCGTGACTCTGTGCTGCTCCAACTCCCACACTTCACCAGGGACCTGGCCCGGAGATGCCAGGAAAATGAAGCGAAGCCCATCGAGAGCATCTTCGATCTGGCTGAGATGAGCATCGATGAGATGCGGGACCTGTTGCAGCTGTCAAACTCTGAGCTGCAGGATGTCGTCGTGTTCTTCAAGCGGTTCCCCAACGTCGACATGACTTACGAGGTCCGCGAGGGCGACGACATAAGGGCCGGTGACAACGTGACCTTGCAGGTGACTCTGGAGCGCGACATGACCAACCTGCCCAACTCCGAGGTCGGCCCGGTTCACGCCCCCAGGTTCCCCAAGACCAAGGAGGAAGGGTGGTGGCTGGTGGTCGGCGACAGCTCCACCAAGCAGCTGCTGGCTATCAAGAGGGTCACCCTCCAGAAGAGGGCCCGTGTGAAGCTCGAGTTCACCGCCGCCGCGGAGCCAGGGACGAAGGACTACATGATCTACCTGATGTCGGACTCGTACCTCGGCTGCGACCAGGAGTACGAGTTCACCGTCGACATCAAGGAAGCTGGAGGCGACTAATTTCAAACACCCAAAACTCTTTTTTATACTGGGTTTTTGCTCTTATGTAGACAATATTATGTGACCTGGAACTTATCATCTTTTTGTCTGTAATGTAACACCTGAAGTTTAGCTTTGATTCAGTGTAACATGATGCACACGTACGTTATTGTGTTTTTGTATGGCGACGAGGAGGATCTACACTAGTTGCGGTTTGCACTTATGCATCTGTTTCAGCACCTTTCTTTCCCTGATGATGGTTTGCTGATGAGTATCCATTGTTCTTGTGATGTTCTTATCTGATGTTTCTTAATTTTATTTGTCAGTGATTGGCAACAATTACCGCAGTGGTGATAATAGGATTAAGTTCAGTCTGATTAACATGTTATTGTGTTTTTTTGCCAGTGAATATATGAAATGATCCATAAGGCATTTGTCTCACCATTACCTTGGTGATACAATATTAGTAGAATGATTGTAGATTGGTTTGGTTAAGTAGAAATTTTGTGATTTTTAGAAGTTTATGCCCCAATAGTTGTGGTTTTGTGGTGTTCACTCTTCTCCTTGGTGTCAATTTTAAGTGCCGACCCAGTTCCAAATTTATTTTTTTGAAATGTGGCAAAAGATTTGCCACATGTATTATTTAAGAAGGGAATAGAGTGTTTTTGTTACAAGCCTCCCTTTTGTTTGGGTTGTAATTAGTTTTCATGGGGAGTGATGATAAATGGTGTGAGCATCTTTATTGACCAATGATGATAAAATATATGTTGAAGGAATAGTAATGACAAAGGATTTTTTTTTTCATGCCGAGTACATTTCACATTTATGTTTACTGCCAATGCGAGCCCTTCAAGGCAATGTTAGATAATGTAAATGCATGACAATTATCATTTTGCTGGATCGCCCAATATCCATAGACACACCAACTATACCGCGACGGATATTGATCACCGGTGGATCCATCAAAATTTTTGTTGTGTGAATGTGTCAAAACCGCCCTAACTGTGTATGCATATCTCGGATATATTGAGCACCAATCATTCGGTACCTTCATTTAGTACCTGATCTTTCAGACGTCAACTATTTCATAACTTGTTGGCTCCTCCAGAAAAGGAGACACTAAGAGCAATCTATTCCAACAAGAAGTTTTACAAACTTTCTAAAGAAGCAATGATGTGGAGAACACCTGCTTAAAGCTGGTTGCCCCACCATACTTGCTGCAATTTTCACCACCAATGCATCTCATCACAGATTAAATGGAGCAATTTCCAAATATGCTACTCCCTCCGTTTCAAAATAGAAAGTAACCAGATTTAAGACAATGTAATGCGTGACAAAAAAATCTTGTAGGTTTGATATCGACAAACAATTGATAATAAATAGACCGGATATAGAAATACACGGTGCCCACGCTTCATTTGTCAACCTCTTGATACGGAAACCATGAAAAATCACATGAAGAAATTCAGGAGGCTTAGATATAGAGTTCAACTTTTTAGCCAATGCAGTTGCTGCCAAACATTGCCACGGCGGGGAGGGAACACGCTAAGGACGAGTAATGCGCTTTTACGTTTGGAAAGCGTAAAAGCTGCCCCCCAAGTGCGCTTTGGTCCGCTCTAGGCTAGGGGAGCATCACCCGCCCCCAAATCAGAAATCGGCGCCTCCATTGGTTCGATCCGCCGCCGGCCCGGGCCAGCCACGACGGTCAGGTTCCGGTCCCGGCGGCAAAGCTCGGCGCCATGGCGATTGGATGCGGTGGGAGTCGGGCGGCGAGCTGGGGTGGTTCTATCGCGGCAGGCGCTTCGGTCGCGGACGCGGCGGCGGTTCCAATGGCGTCGCGTCGCCGCTGCGGTGGTTCCGTTCCGGCGCGGCCGTGGGGGTGGGGTCGCGGCGGTGGCGCAACCACCAAACCAAGAAGGCAGTGTCCGGGCCGGTCGACGTCGCTGCTGTCCGTTTTACCCCAACCCAGACCAGGTGCAATTTCGGTCACTCATATCTCTGTACTCGATCCATCCACCAGCTGCACTGTCGGTCACCCATTTCTCTGCATTCAATCCATCAGCTGCAATGTCGAGTCACTCGGTACTAATCAGCGATGGCCCAACAAACAGGACAGTGGTGGTTACGGGTTCCGGCGTCCAGCTTCTTGCTCATGGCCGGAGTTGCCGTCGTTTGTACACGATGAGAAATCCAACTTTACCCTCTGTACTAGCGACGTCAAGTGTGAACGTCGGAGACGAAGCAGTGCCGCTCATTACTCCGTCAGCTGCAATGTCACCGTCACTCATTATTCCCCATCAACCCATCACCTGCAGTGTCTGGGCCACTCATTCATTACTAGTAGTACTCTATCAATCCATCATCTGCTCCATTGCACCAGCACCTCTGGCTGGATCTCCATTTTGCTCCACCCGCAAGAGCTAGCATTGCCACCTGCACCTCCTCCAGCAGAGCCAGAGGGACAAGAGAGGCATGGAGGCGACGGCGGTTAGCGTGGGCAAGGCCGTTCTCGACGGCGCGCTCGGCTACGCCAAGTCCAAGGCAGCCGAGGAAATCGCCCTGCAGCTTGGCGTCGAGCGTGATGTGGACTTCATCAAGGACGAGCTGCAGATGATGCAGTCGTTTCTGATGACGGCCGATGAGGAGCAAAGCCAGAACAAGGTGCTCACCACATGGGTGAAACAGGTGGGGATACTGGCCTACAAAGTGGAGGATAGCCTCATGGATTTTGGCCTTCACTCTGAGAAAAAACCATTCTTAGGGTGCATTCCCCGCAATCCAATGGATCGACGCCACATCGCCAAGGAGGTGAAGGAGCTTAGGGCCAAGGTGGAGGACGTGAGCAACAGGAACCTGCGCTATCGCCTCATCAAGGAGAGCTCAGGCTCCAAGCCTACAGCGGCAGAGGAGCAGGCCAAAATTGCCACTGAAGCAATGTTTGGCATGAACCAAGCAAGGCTTACTGCCTTGGACCGTGGAAAATCATCAGAGGTGAACCTCCAACAGCTGATTACCAGCAACGATGTGGACCTTAGGGTGATCGCCGTGTGGGGCTGTAGTGGTGATCTTGGGAAGACGTCTGCCATCCAGGAGGTTTATGATGACCCGAAGGTATTGGAAACGTTTGGATTCCGTGCTTGGATTAGGTTGATGCATCCTTTCAATCCACAAGAGTTTCTCAGAAGCTTGGTAAGACAATTTTATGAAAATTCACATGATGATGCTGGAAAGGCGGAACAAGAAACAAGTGTCGGGGCTAATGTTCTGGCCAAGATGGAGAAGATGGATCAAAGTGATTTAGTTCGGGTGTTTAATGCGCAGCTGTGTAGCAATAGCTACCTTGTTGTCATTACCGACCTGTCCACAATAGAAGAGTGGCATTGCATTAAGAAGTACTTTCCTGACAACAAGAGACAAAGTAGAATCATCGTTTCCACTCAGCAAGATGAAATTGCATGCTTGTGCACAGAGAAACCGTATCAGATGTCCAAGTTCAGGCAGTTGTCATATGATCAAATTATTTATTTGTTCCACAAGAAGGTAAATATTTTTCTTGCATGGTCTCTGTTATTGATTTGCTTCTTTTTCTTTATGGATGATTGATTCTTATTTTCATTTCACGTCTAATTGCAGACTTCACCGGAACAGATCAGTTTAATAGACAACACCGATAAAGCAATGGTTGCTGCTGTGGAGAAGGAGAAACTGAAGGTGGGACTCTGAAATTCAAATCTTGAGTTCTCTGTCCATGGATTATGTTTGGGTTGTATAAATGTTTCAGCAGTATGTTCTGTTTATCAACACGCACCATGCACACAAATGTTCGCAACCAAGCAGTCTAGCTAGCTAGCTTAAACAACTTTATATGGACGAGCTAATCCTGGTGCTCAAACAAATTTAACAAACTTTAATTTGAGAGAAATAAAACTGAGACATACCTCATAGTCGAATTTACGCTAATTGAAAAGCACATTGTTCTTTAAAGTTGTACTGAGGATACATATGAACTTGGATAATTTGTTGGGTATAATGCTCTCACTAAGTGTGTCAAACATCTGCGTATGAGTGAGCTAATCCTGGTGCTCAAACATATTTAAGAAACTTTGGAGGGAAACAAAGCTGAGACATGTGAGATATGCCTCTTACGTGTGCACTTGAAAATCCTCAACATCTAAAATGACACGCAAGTAGTCTAGATGTGAAAGTGTGGAGATCACAAGTACATAAATTCTCATAGATCTGTTTCTTTGTTCAGGTTATTCATGCATCATGTTCTGCTGCTGAGCCCATTTCTGACTCAAACAAAGTTACTACTAGTGAGAAACACACAGCAGTGCCCGCCGGTGAAATACTGGAGGAAGTTACATAAAGAGATTGCAGTTGATTTGAGCAGTTAAAGTACAAATTTTGTGCCCTCAATTTTTTTCCCACATGCCGCAGAAATGCAACAAAGATTTTTGTTGAGATTGGAGCAATCAACTTCATTCCTTTTTGCCCTGGAAACGATGTTGTATACGTTTTGCCTCCTTGAGTTAGTTGCAGCGTCAAATGTTCTCACCATACTCAAGTAATTGTACTTGTTTGTTTAACGGAAGTTATCAAAGTAGCTAAATTACTTTGTTAGGAGTGATTCTTTTTGTTGCAGGTATTGCTTGGAGTGGGTCTTGTCAGAAAATTAAAATGTCTTCCTTTTGTTGTTATTGTTTGGAGTGAATCTTGTCATGAAAATAAAATTGCCAACCTGACATCAGGTTTGTTATCAGGCTTATTCATACAAATTTCAAGGGCTAAAGTAGCAAAAAAAATGTCCACAAATTTATTTTCCATTTCATGGGCAAAAAGTTGTATTATTAGAATTTTGTGAAGTACATAATTTTTTCCCCAGAAAATGTGCTTCACGGTGCATATTTGAATTATAACAGTATTTATGATTACATTGATTAGTGCACACCCATGATACAAGGAAATTCCAATGCTTAGGGAATTTTCCATATGCAGAGAATTTCAGTTTAATATCTCTTCTAATTCCAACAAAATGTTAAGTCCAAGGAGGAGATACAAGTTTTATCGCAAAGTTACCCTAAGGGTCGGGGCTTTGGCTTCCAGAAGCCACAAGTTGAACCTAAGACAATCAAGTTCATATTATTTCATATTTTTAATTTAGCATCAGTAAATCTTTAATCCAAATAGTTGACTTTGTCAAATCATGTCCGTCGCAGGTATTCAAGGACAATTTTGAAGTAAATTATTTAGCCCCAGCTATGATGGAGCAAGCAAAGCTTATCCTGCAGAAATGTGCTGGACTGCCCCTTGCAATATCGACTATCGGTGGATTCCTTGCCACTAAGCCAAAAACTGCTAATGAATGGAGGAAGATGAGTGATGGCATTAGCATTGAATTGGAGATGAATCCTGAACTTAGGACAATAAGGACAGTTCTTATGAGGAGCTACTATGGTTTGCCATACCATCTCAAGTCTGCTTTCTTATACCTATCCATATTTCAAGAAGATCAGAGAATTAGGTGGGGTCGCTTGATGAGGCGGTGGATTGCAGAGGGTTACTCAAGGGATATGCAGGGCATAACTGCAGCTGGACTCTGTCGGAGGTACTTTGATGAGCTCTTGGATAGGAGTATGATCCTGCCAGGGGAAGGGACAGACCAATACAGTCAGAAAATCAGTTCTTGCCAACTTCATGATATGATCCGTGAAATATGCATCTCAAAGGCTAGCGAGGAAAATCTTTTTTTGACGCTGGAGGAAGGATGTTGTTTGAGTGACACGCAGGGTGCAATACGTCATCTTGTCATTGGCAGCAACTGGAAAAGGGATAAAGATGTGTTGGAGAGCAAGCTAGACTTGTCACACGTACGGTCATTGACCGTGTTTGGAGAGTGGAGATCGTTTTTCATTTCCGACAATATGAGGTTTGTGCGAGTGCTCGACTTAGAAGACACACTGGGGTTTAGAAATCATCATCTTGATCAAATCGGGCAGCTCCGTCACCTCAAGTACCTTTCTCTTCGAGGATGTTGGAGCATTTTATGTCTGCCTAATTCTTTCCGGAATTTGAGGCACCTCGAAACACTGGATGTTAGAGGTACACGCATATCTGAGTTGCCAACAATAATCACTGAGCTTCGGAAGCTACAACACCTTCATGCAGATGATTATGGGGATCGTATTGGTGTTAGGGGAGAGGATGACATAGTTCATAAGTATCACAAGTTTAGAGGTCATCTTTTCTTGAGACCACAAGTTTTAGATGCTGGTTTGAACAGGAATGATATATTCAATCTATACCGCTTCCAGCAGGAGGAGAACCTATATGGCATTATTCTTCCTAAAGGGATTGGTAAATTGAAGACCCTTCATGCACTAGGTGCTGTTGATGTTTCTTGGAGAAATGGAAATGCCATTGTAAAAGAGTTCCGAGAGCTTACTGAGCTACGTAACCTTAAAGTGGGTGGTGTGAGCTGCAGAAACATCAATGAGTTATGAAAAAAATGAAACTCCATGGGCACTAGCACCCACGGTTTTATTGATATAGAAGAAGCATCCCTCATGAGAATTCCAGAAATTCGTCCCCGACGTGGATCGAACTCTGGTCGTTAGGTTTACAATCATGCGCCCCCAACCACTGGGCTATGCCCACGTCCTCTGCTCTTAATTTCTACTACTAGCCGCTACTGCTGCCTATCCCCATCCCCAATCCTCTGCTCGTGTTGCCTGATCTGCTCCAGTCTTCCTGCCGCTGTACCACTGACTGATGGTCCCTAGAAACGGTGGTCACTGTGAAGCACCGAAGAATGGTCAGGAACAACAATGGGGCTCCATTGGTAAATGGTAAGAGTGTTCTGATCAGTGGTTTGGGATATCATTAGGATGCGTCCTATTTCTGCATATATACGCCGAGGTGCAGAGCAGGAGGAGACCATACATACGTATAGGAGAAAGAGCAAATGGTTGGTTGTTCAGAATAGAATCCTACGGATTTGGTATGCTGAAGAAACAGACATGTCGAGGCAAGGCTTCAGTTCAGAGTTGAAGTGTTGAACCACGTTCCATGTACCAGGTGTCTGCCTGCCACGGTGTAAGTAACCTGAATGAATGCCTCAGTGTATTGAGCCACTGCGTGTGGGCCTTCATGTTGAAAAGTGAAAGCGAATGCTGTAGATCTGAATTCCCAGCCCCCTTGCTCTGTTTTCCTTCCCGACTGAACCTTGAGGAGCTGACAGCCAACAAAAGTCTAAAACATTCAAGTAGAGCAAGCAGCAGACATATCATCATCCTCACAGGCACAGCCCAGAGGTAAGCATTATCACAGCCCAGACATATCATCAACAAAAGTCTAAAACATTCAAGTTCCTTTCTTTTTCTTAAGAAGGTAAGCATCATCATAGTACTCCAAACTACAGAACAACTCCACAACCAATGACTGAATATCTTGAATGTCATGGCTGCATCTATCTATGTAGTACATGCTCTTACTATCCTTTCCAGTTGCATGTTTAGGAGGAAGAGGATGGACAACGTTCACATGCATGAGTCGCAACGCACTGTCAGCAGCACATCCCCTGAGAGAAAAAGCAGAGGTTTGACTTTGACACATCACCAACAACCTGGACATGTTAACCCCTGAGGGAAGAGATGCATGTATGTACGTTTGTTCTCGACACTGAATTTTACTACTTATTTCACAGATGTTTCTTTCTCTGGTGGCATTTCCCGGGCTTACAATTCTGTGACTTCCATTTCTCTTTTCCTTCGAGCAGTAGGAATTTTTCGTTTTCAGAACCCACTGCATTTCTACAATTAGCATGCCATCGTATCGGATTCGGATGCAGTTTTGCAAGTTCAGCTGGTATTTTTCACTGCTTTGTGTTGTCGTATCACCCGGCATTGCAGCTGGAAACAGATGTTGGCTGACTGTTGTGCCCGGCTAAATGAACTGACGCCAAAAAAGGATGCTGTGACTTTCCGTTGTGGCATCATCGGCCAAGTTCGAGCGAGTTGTGGCCGTCTCGACTGCTCGAGCTCCATGGCAGCACTCCGTGGATGCAGGAGCCGCCCAGCCCCAGCATGCGTGCAAGGGCCGTAATCACTCTCCGCCTCCGCCCTTCTGCTCCGTCGCCGGCAGAAGGGAGAGCAGGCCCTGTGAAGCGCTGAACTGAATTGGCAGCTCCCAGGTTTACATTTACAAATGTGTGAGCTCCCCCAGCATAGTGGATGAGTGAACAGTACTACTGTACCTCGTACTCTCATTTCATTAGTCACCCACTGCAGGCACAAAAAAGATGGGCAGATATATTTATTAATTTTCCACAGTTCGCAATATCATATCGTATTGACTCTGCATCCTTGAAGACGGGGCATCCCAGCAACAAATAGGCAAAGCAGCATTAGCGTCAGTAGCCTCCGTCAGCTTGATTTTTAAGCCAACGCAGTTATGCAAATACTAGTAAACCGGAAGAATACACCTTTACGTTTCTAAAGCGTAAATACTTATCCCCTAGATACGCTTTGCTTCACTCTACGGGAGCAACGGATAGCATCACTGTCATCACCCACCCCCCAAATCAGAAATATGGCTGGCGATGGGCCGGCGGCGAAGAGTGCCTGGCAAATTAAGGAGTGCGGTGGGAATCGTACAGGCGCGCGGCGGCGGCAGTCTCGATGGGGGTTCCATTCTGGTGTCATCGTCGGTCCGAGCGGGACAGGGCGGTGGACCGACCAACAATGACAGTGGCGTTGAACCTTCAAAAGGTACCAGAGTGCCCCTCATTGCACTATAATTACTCGTAGTCGTAGCGCCATTCATTTATCAAGTGATTTTAAATCAAATTGGTTTATTTTGGTTTTGAATTACTCACTCCTATTCCTAATGGTCGAGTAGAATCGATCCCCAGACACCATAATAGTTGACCTGTGCCTTAATTTCCATTCCATCACATCAATTTGTGCTGGCGAGCCTGTTTCGTACTACGACTCACATGTTGCATGTTCTGTAGTCTTCTGAATAGTTAACAATGTTTTCCATCAAGGTCCTTGGTGCACGGAAAATCATCATATATGAACCTCCACCAGCTGATTACCAGCAACTATGTGGATCTTAGAATGATCGCTGTGGTGGGGAACTAGTGCTGATCTCCGAAAGACGTCTGCGATCCAGGAGGTTTGATGAGCCAAAGGTATTGAAACGGTTTGGGTTCTGTGCTTAGATTAAGGTTGATGGATCCTTTCAATCTACAAGAATACCTCCGGAGCTTCATAAGGTAATTTTTTGGAATGTCCCCTGATGATGTCCGAAAGCTAGAACAAGATACCCTAGAAGTGGAGTAGCATTGCATTATTACACTGACTTTTCTGGATTTATTTGGGCAACTCCAAGTAAAATACATTACTCATTTGAACATGTTGTGACATCCTTTGCTTTTAATTATTTTAACGCTTGAAAATCAGGATGCTACAATTCACAATGCATCCGGGACATAATAATAATAATAATAATGATAATGATAATAATAATAATAATAATAATAATAATAATAATAATAATAATATGGTACATCTGTAGCCCAATTACAATTTTTGTTAAGACAAGAATAAGAATGAAACTTTACAATCTGGACAGTATAAAGCGCCCATTATTTAGTGGACTATACGGTGTAGCGTATACTTTACCCTCTCCATCACAGGAGGCAAATGATATAGCACTTCAATAGGAAAAGTAGACAACAAAACATTAATGCTAAGAACCCGATGGACTAGCGTGGGAGAGTCGCCGATGCCATGAACTCTTGCTCCAAGCTGTAGCAATTTTGGTTCCTTTGAGAAGCTATATTAACTCTGTCTGCTATACCACTTTGAGTAGTCAACATCGGAAGAGTGCCGTGGCTTTGTCCACTTAACAAGGGTTGCATGTCTTCATTTTTTACAACAACCTGGCATGATCTTAACCTTTTAGATCGCACATACTGTAGTTTCATCTCCACTTCTTTCATTGTAGGTCTCTCTTCACCTCGTAGTTGCAAGCAAGTCTCCGCAAGATTGGCGACGTCATTAATCTCTTCATTTGTTGCTTCATCAAGAACTTGAGTAGCGACTATTTCTGCAAGTGGTTTCTCCCTCATCTCCCAAAGGAAGTAGTTGGACAAGTTTTGCGTTAGCCCAGAGTCACTTGTAAAAATAGGCTTCTTTCTGAGCAGCAACTCTACAAGTACTACACCAAAACTATAGACATCACTCTTCTCATTCAACATACCAGTGTGGTAATATTCCGGGTCTAAGTATCCAAATGTGCCTTGTATATTTGTAACGACATGAGTTTGGTCAATAGGAACCAACCTTGAAGCGCCAAAATCTGATACTTTTGCAGTGTAATTTCCATCTAAGAGTATGTTAGTGGACTTCACATCACGATGAAATATCGATACTGAAGCAGCTGAGTGGAGGTAATAGAGTGCTCCAGCAGCTTCTGCAGCAATTTTCAAACAATCATCCCAGGACAAGACAAGGCCGCTAGTGGTACCGGCGTGAAGGATTCCAAATAATGAACCATTAGGGATGAAGTCATACACTAGCAGTGGGACTTCGGTCTCAAGACAACAGCCGAAGAGCTTCACGATATTCCGGTGATTTACCTGGGAGAGGACAGCAACCTCATTGATAAATTGGCTTATCTCAACTTGCTCAATGACTTTAGACTTCTTTATGGCCACTACCCGTTGGTCAGATAAGATGCCTTTATAAACCATGCCATGCCCTCCACGGCCAACAATACGTGTTGGATCAAAGTTATTTGTTGCCTTCTCTAACTCTGATAGTGAGAAAATCTTAGTGTTGTCACTTGCATTTTCATCTGATGATATCAATTGTTCGAGAAGTAGACCTTGGTTCTGCCGAAAATGCTTTCTTCGTAGTTTCTTCTTGGTGTCTTTTTCCCATGTACGGATGAATAATATTACAATTGATATGAGAAGTAGAATTCCAAAACCAACACTAATTCCAATGGCGATACCTGTATTATTATGCTTGTCATCACAGTTCAGGATTTTATATATGTAGCTCATTACATGGAATTGGTTGTACCATAGAACTCACCCACTACCAGTTTTTTTGTCGATGTGCACATCTTTAATGTAGTATCATACACTGTATTACTAGGACATTCAGTGCAATAGTAACCTCCTTCGGTGTTATGACAAATCCCATAACATGTGCCTGATGTCATGCACTCGTCAACATCTGCAACAATAGGTATAGTAATGACAGATTAATATATATAAGTATTATAACTAAGTTGCCCGTTAGTGCCTGCAGCTAATACTAGCATAGGTTATTTTGAGCTTTATGTAATTTGATCATTGGCACCGCAGAGATTATAGAATGAACTCATACAGGTCTTTGTGCGTAGACAACTTATTTATAGGTTACCATGTACATAAAGTAGATATACCGGTTGAGGTTGAGCACGTTTTTGCATATCTCTGGCCTTTTTTTTACATTGAGATTATTTAGAGATATAAAAGTACCACTTCTCAAGGTGTGCGAACACCCATTTATTATGCAATTTCCTGACAAAGGGAAGTTTTGCATATTAGTAGAATTTAGGAGGTGCACAATGGAGGAGGAGGCAGAGGAATGCAGTTTGTACCTTTGCACCCATCCGGGATATATGGATTCCCGTCAAAGCCGGGCACACATTTGCAACGGTAACCGACATATTCTCGTTCAGAGTTGAGACCCAAGCGTGTGCTATTCAAGCTGACACATGCATAACTGGTCCTATTCTCCTGTGCCTCGTGGCATGTCAAATTGGCTACGGCCAACTGCTGTGGTAATACACCCCCGGAGTCAACATAGAAGCCCAGATCTTGAGGTGCTTGCAGCGAGAGGTCGTATCGGTCAGATAAGCTGTATTTAACATTCACTAGCCCCTCCGTAATACTTACATGCTTTACATAAGCCATGTTGTATGCATCGTCTAACTCGTCAAGAAACCGGAGGTCGGACATTGATGAATTTGAACAGGTGAACTGAAATGACATCCTTGCAGAACAACCGTCCTCTAGGCTAAATGGAAAAGGGACATTGATTTCCCCACACCATATAGAGCAGTTGGTCTTCCGTTGCATCGGTTCATACCCTGATTTCATAAGAAGGTCAGCACATCTATTTTAATATTACCTCTCAAAACAAGAAGAACGTCGCACCCAACAAAAGAGGTCAAGTGACCAACTCCTAAAGATCCTAGTTTTTTTAAAAAGGAGGACGACCCCCGGCGATGCATGCAGCCATTTTATGAACAACTCATCAAAACCTGCAAAATAATACATCAATAGGTCTGAAGCCATCGTCTGGACAACATCTGTTGCTATTCCTATCAATTTGAGGAAGGGGTACACATTGTCTCAACCGCATACCCAAACCTTCACACCAAAACCCAACATCTAAAACCGAAGGCCCCAAACAAGCCGCATTGTCGCGTCTCGGGCACACACCGATCCAGCACACTCTCAGTGGTTGCCGCACGCGCACGCTGCAGAGGCCACCGCCACCGTCTTCCACCGACCCATCTTCAATGCAGGTATTGACGCATCGACCTTGCTAGGCCCAACAACCATTGACTTGACGCCAGCACGACACCAGACAGCTTCACCATCCTGCGCTCGTCCATCAACACGCGTCCACCGCCGTGACCTTGCTGCTCCACGCCACCGAGACCCATTGTTGTCGACGTCCAGATGCCATGTCGCTCCTCCTTTGCGAACAACATCTATTGTCACTGGTCCCATCCCCTCCGCCTGCAGTTCCTCTAGCCGAACACATGAACGCCCCAAGCAACACCTCCATGAAGGGAAAGATGCACATAGTGCAGCCACTGCCCAATCTGAGGAAATTTTGGGTCTTCGCCTAGGCGTGGGGTCAGGGCGTAAGGAGGGACTTCGACGACGCTTGCAAGAAGGAGAGCGGCGACCTTGGCCGTCACCACCGTCGGGATGAGCGAGCCATCTAGAGTTTCCTCCGCCCCCTCCCCCCCCCATCTCTACCAGCCCCCGCCAATGCGATGTGGCCGACGGCTGAGACTGAAAGCCACTAAATGCAGCGGGAGAGATGCTGCAGCGGGAAGGTGATCCACCGGTGACTCACCGCTCACGCGGTAAAGAAGCCGTCCATCCAACCCCGGCGAGCGCCACCAACTGATGGCGTCGCCGCCATGCCTACTGGGGCCGCCGCCCCAGAACCAGAGTTCTCCACAAGGACAGGAGCGATGAGATCTGCCGCCGCATGACCAACGCCGCTGCCCAAGCCATCGCCGGGAGTTATCCAAGCACCGCCCCTGGCACGGCATTGGTCCGTCTCCACCGCCCACCACCACGCCTCAGCCATGCGCCGTTGCCGGAGGTGAGAGGTCGTGCCGTCAGCGACCCAGATCATAGCTAGTGCCCCTGTGCCCTTGGGTTCCCTGCATCATCCAAACCTGCGCGGGAGGGGAGAGAACCTCGCCACCACTGGGCTTTGCCCTGTGGCTTCCTCCAGCGGCGAACGAAGGGAGGAGTGGGATCTGCGAGGCCCCGGCGGCTACGGTTCGGTGCCCGCCCGAGTCGCCCAAGCCGGGAGGGGGAGTGGGGGGATGCAGGGTATGTATCATGGGGCATATAATAGATAGATCCTAGTGAATTAATCACATGATTAACACAACATTGTTTCAGTTTTCAAGGGACTTAGCGCTTTATTAACCAGATAGTACTATGAAAGAACCACATGCCAAAAGTACATGAGGTAGATTAGGCAGCATCGACATCCGCGTGTCATTTCCTCGTTGAAGGTGTTGTCTTGAAGTTCTACTTCGGGGGTGGGTGTATGCTTGACTATTGTTGAACCACCAACATTGTCTTGCATGCAGCTATTCCTTTTTGAAGGCGTTGTCTTCATGCCTTGCACCCTTTGTTAGGTCCTTCATGAAGGCGTTGTCTTCGTGCCTTGCACCCTTTAATAGGTCACATGTTGCTAGATTAAGGTCCACGGTCATAGGTTTTATGATAGGACTACAGAGATGCTGCCACAAAGCAGGTCCATCGTGGATGGCCTTGTATTTTCTTTATGTCAGCCAATTTGTTTGGCTTCAATATTTGGCATCGATTGTCACTGATTTTAATAGTAAATAATATATGATTGTGTATATCGATCTATTCAAATGCTAGAAATTATCCTCTTTAAAAAAAATAATAATTAGATGAACACGTAGTTTTTTTAAGTCGGCTCTGTAAGATCTCGATTTGTTAAAAAACAAGTCAAGAGTTGCTCGGTTAATATATGGATCGATAAGTCCCACACAGGACAACACCGTCTGACCTTGCCACCCCCACAAAGATACAAAACGCCTCATAGGAGAAACACATAGTTGAGGTAGTCAGTAAGTGCCATCTTCATCGCTCATCCACAAGCCCGCGACTCCTATTTCACTATCGACTTCCACCAACGAAGTCCTCGTCACAACAGACATTGAAACCCATGTCATCCCATGCAAAACAGCCGACCACCAAACACCAGACAGAGGGGCATATATAGCACCAATGACGCACCCTCAAAGACCACCAGTCATGGGAGGCTGCCGCCACTCGGATCCCACGAAGGCCCCAGTCGGCGCATTGCCGACGTGTGCTGCCGGTGTCTTGCCCTCTTTGTAGGCCACTGTTGTCACCGTCCCCAAAAACAAACCATGATCTATGCTTCACGGAAGCGGATGCCACTCTGATGAGCGGCGCCGTCGAACATAGGGAAGGTATGGGGAAGCGGAGGCTATTCTTCTCCTCTAGCTGAAGCATAACCCTCCAGGACATCCAACAGTTCGACGAGTGGGCTAACGGACATGGGAAAGCCATGTGAATGGAGGGGCTACGGAGGGGGCGGGGTTTCTTTTTCCGGGCTCATCGCCGACCGGAGATGGGCAACGGGCACCAGTGGTCATTTTAGTTTAGGTTCAGAGTCGGTGTAGTAGAAAAATGTCTAAATGTAAAGAATTTGCTTTGACTTCAATGAAAAGCATCCAGTTTTATGTAACAAAATATCCGGTTTGTTTGAGTTTGAATCAAATTTGTTCATTTTCGTTGAATTTCATTTGAAATGTAACCGGACACATGCAGATAGTTTTGGGTGGCCTGCTCCCTCATCCATGTCCACGGACTGGTACCCTCTATCTGCGGAGGAACGCCGGACCAAATTTGTGGGTCAGTGCCCTAAGATACATCATTTTATGATACCATGCATTATGAAAAGCATATCAATACATCATGCAAGAAACAACGCTAAGGTACGACCCAGTGAGAGTAGCCTTGGCTGCGCCAAAGAGGAGAGCGCCAGCTTTTTACGGCATTAATTTTTTATGAGGCCTATATATGCGAGCATGTGGGAACAAGATTGGTTACTGTTGATGTTTTTTCTTTGTTGGAGAATATTGTTTTGGAAAATTTGCTGTATATGCATACTGTAAGAAAAAAAGTACCGACTAAGGAAAAACTAGGCTTTTTAGCTCAAATTAATTACCTTTGTCACCCGAGCAGCCATCGGTTATGTGTCGACTGCCTCTGTAATCACTGTCGTACCCACAATAATAAATGACCCGAGATGCAACGAATTGTCCGCTGCTATGGTTGCTGGGACATGCATAATCTGTGACAGGTCCATCAACGGCGATATCCCAGTAAATAGAAGCACGATCAGAGGTTACATCAATTGTATCCCATATGGAGCTTGGGTTACTGTGCGCTTTTAACTTCAACTTTCCAATCTTGTGGCGGACAAACTTGAAGTCGAGGCCGGTAGCAAACTCGGCGAAAACGTTGGTGGTGCAACATCCTGTACCGTTGCAGTCCTGCCTGGCTACCGAATGCGTGATATGCTCATCAGGGCATCTAGTACTGCACTGACCCACCATCCTGTTGTTGTCGTGCTCGTGCACATACATGTTGAAGTCGCAACCAGTGAAGTTCAAATACAAATTATAGCTAGTGCGAGATCTCCCAGGATTCCAGGAGATGTTGTACGCATCCACCTCAGGTATCACGGAGACGGATTGGGAAAACGATACATCAATACCTGATGTGT